ACTCGAGGATTATATCACAATACGAACTGTGAAGAGTAATTATGGCTGAATATGGCCACAATGTACGCTCCTAGATTTCCAGGCTGCCCGCCACAAGCAAAAGTGCATGCTACACAGTGCACAATGATCGTATAATTCAAACCCCCGCACGTGAAGGATGCAAGCAAACTATACTATCGCATCAATTTTGATATGCAGACATGACTGTAGTCTGACAAAAGAATGATGCAAGCGAACAAAATAGCTACGTAAGCGCATATATGCAGAGACGTACCTGTTGCCCAAAGAGTAATAAAATATGTACTAATTAAACTATACTTGAACACTAATATGTAGGAAACATGCCTGTAGTCTAGATAAAAGGCCGCTATGCCCAGCGAATTGAGCCATCCCGAAACAGGCTGACTTTCCGCGTGTGAGGTGAACCTGTAACCACCGCCTGGGAGAATAAGCACAGCGGCACATTGCTTCACTCGGTCAGACTCCAGTAAGGGGTAAGGTGTGAGCTTAGCATCTCTGGCACCATTGTCTTTGAGAGTTACCCCTTCCCATATGTCAATAGCTTTATTGTTCAATACGTGATCGAGTGCACGCTGTTGGAGAGCAATGATATCTGGATCGTAATGTCTCTTGATTGTGTACAGGAGGACTACTGACAGGCAGACAGCTGTCACCACCATGACAGGTGAGTGGATGGTTTGCATCATCCTTGCTAGTCTATGCATCCGAGGTAGACAATGCCAGTCCCTCTAGAGGACGGCAACAACGTAGTCATATAGAAAAAATGGCAAAGCCTTCTTCAGATATGCGCGTCCACTGGACACGGGGCGGGGGTATGTTTTATTGCAGCAGCAATAAAAACTCTAAAGTGTCGAAACCCAAGAAGTCGGCGACTCCCTTTTTTTAGGAATAGTGACGTCAACTAAAAGCCGCAGAGGTATCTTGACGTCCCAAATTCCTCATAAAGGAATTTGTTCTTCATTTTTAAGGCTATTTCACTGGCTTGTATTTATAGATTTTACGTGTCAACTTAACAACCATCCAACACTTTCAGCCATGCTGGATTGCTCCTGACGGCTATTTATAGAACAAGTTTTTGTAGATCATCAATCACCTGTGACTTGTGTGAGTGTGATATGTCCTGTGAGGCTGTGAGTCTGTGACAGTTGACACGCTCGTCTCACACTTCACACTTCACACTTCACACTTCACACTCACAGTGTGACTCTGCTTAGTCTGCACTCTGCACTCTGCAGCTGCTTTCTGCTCATCACTGCTGTGTTGGCTTTACAAACCTCTTTTTTTAATTTTATGCAAACACTCCATTCCTCCATTGTACACTGTTTTTTTAATTTACAGAATTGCGGATCACTGATTGTGGCCGTGTGGCGTAAGTACTGGCGTGTGCCCGCCGTGTGGGATCACTGGGTTGTGGAATCGCGAACTGGTGTCTACTCTACTCTCTCTCTCTAATAGAGTGATTGTCAATTTTGCATAGTTCTGAAGAAGTCAAGCAGGCTATGAATTTTGTGGAATCGTGATTGTCAATAATTATGTGTATGTAAAATCGGCATAATAGTACCACACATACCGCTTCTTCTCGCATTTATATTCTTTAGAAAGATTATCATCATGACTATGATCAAGGCCTTCTCCTCGTTCTTCAAGCACAGACCCGCTGAGACTATTCCCGTGATTGGGGGTATGTGAAATTGCTCGTTTATTCGCGACACAAACAGGAACCGTACAGAGCAGCGATTATGCTTTGTATTCTAAATTTGTCTACGTCATACTTCTATTCAGATTTTCTTATTCGCCCCACCTGTAGATGAACTAATTCAAAAAAAAATATCGCGCAGTCACACTTTTGGGCGTAGCAGGATGTGCCACATCTCTCGCATGGACCTGGGGCCCACGGAACGCACAGTGGACTGTTGCAGGACGGGTATGTATCCGCAATTGCTTCAGCACACTATATTCTGTAGTTTATGTGGTTGAGATCGATTGTTATGTTTTTTTGCTATTATATAAAGCCTTTAATAGCCAAATCCAAATTCACTCATCAATGAATACTTCATTAACATATGGTATTGTTTTGAATGGTTTACAGTTCCCGGAACTGAAGATTACCGAGGGTCAACAGACTAAACTTATGACAGTCAACCAAAAGTACTCTCAGACCGCTTAAAGCGTAATTGAAGTGGAAATGGTTCTCTGCTGGACGCAATGAGAAAAACATGTATTGTTCAGATTGAAGTTGAAGTGGTTTAGATCGTAGCATATACACACTTATACGCTATGGATGTGGATGAGCGACATCCGCACTCCGTGGGACTAGCAATCGTACTTCTGGGATGGCTACCTTATATACTGAGGATTCGGGCTGTACCCGACCTCCCGAAGATAGGATATAAAATTACACTCATTTTGTAACTGCCAGACTTGCGTTATGTCTGCCCTATATCCGCATAATATACCATACACGTACGCTGTCGCTGCGTACCTTTGATAGCCACTAGTACATATACCTGTGTACCATGCAGTACGATGGAAGCTTTCGTGTGTGTGTAATTTAACGAACGTTGTTGAAAAATACCACAAAGGAACTCCTCAAGCAAATATTGAAGGAATTCATAGGGCGATATGTAAAGAATCTTGTACACTTTCCGAGTGTATAGTGGACATATTGCTGTGTATCCTGACAGTGATAAGATACAGTGGGGTGCATCTGCAATCAATTCCGTATGCTCCGCTAATATTTGATCTCTATGTAGATGTGCACGAATGCACGGATTTGTACTTTCACAAAGTGAGCTCTCTGACATACTCGAAAAGAGGGATCACGCGTGCTTTTTTACTAATGATGTAGAAAACTATATATCCAATGCTATACGTGAATTGCATTGTACTACAATTTAAGGACACAGCATGGTGCTAGAACAATGCACCACTAAAAATGGTACGTAACAGATCCACACTCACGGCATGCAATTCACTTTTTAACACTGCAATCACTTGCAGATCTGGTCACAAATATATTCAGATAAAGTGTTTATTTTAGGCTCGCACAATCAGTTGCATCCAGTATTATATGCATAATTTCGAAGATATTTCTTATTTTTTAGTCTCCCACTGTCAGGTGTACGTACATATGTAGATGATTATATTTTGCTCAAAATTAGAATAGACAAACGGTGCAAATATTGCTTCCAGGCGAGATTATTCGTACCTTATTGTTTTCCAAAAATTACATGCTATTTTAGCGTGTTATATATACTGTCGCATGTATTGCACTGCTATTATTTGTCTATTCGCACAGCAGGTCTGTGATGTCATAGTCACTTTTATCCGTATTCGACCTGTGGGTGACGGTCCCAGATTTCTCTATCATTCGCATCCATTTCTTGTTGCTTCTGTAATAGATGTCGCGACACAGCTCCTACACCGAAATGAATAGTTGATATGTGGTTAACTAGCGGTACTAGTAAATACAATAAAAGCTGATACAATTCAAGAGATATACGACATCATGGCGCGCGAGATAATAGTCGTAATGTCACACCATAATTATTCCTACTAAAACGTAGATGGTCTAGGATGTATATCGATCCCAGCTATTGCGGTATTTAGAGTACAGCATTTCCGGCGCTTATCAGGTTGTTTGGTGGCAAAGGTTTAGCGTGGTGTATCGAGGATCGTAAATACAACGCACCTTTCAATAGATAGTGATGCGTCTGCAGAATTGACAGTTTTAGTCGGTACGCGATATCCGACAAACGTTTTTGTAGAGCTTCTTTTAAAGCAAACACTTGAAAGGTGAAGAAAACATGCATGTAGAGTTCGAACAAGTGGTAAAGTTGCATGTAGAGTTGGAATGCATTGCAGAGTTATTGCGAACACACTCGAGACAATATACAATGTAAACCGTTCGTACACGAGGACCCAGGGCTGAATTCGAATAGTTGCCTTGTGAGTATTCGGTTCGCAGGCATGGGCCGAACACATACTCAGCGAGTTTGATTAAATGAATAAGCTGACAGGCATATTGCTTCAGATTGAAACTTCATTTATCCACAATAAATACCCACGGTGACGTACTTGCGTATACAAAAATATACTTATATCACAATCGATTACATACATGAGAGCAAACTTGAGTTTGTAACTACTCATATCACACCACTTTTAGTTCAAGTCGCACCTGTCTTTTCATTATATTTTCCTTGTTGCTGGTTCGGTGCAACTTCGTATCTAGTGTGAAGTCGGTGATCTTCGTCCAATTGTTTGCGAATATTCCCACTTTCTGCATCAGATGGTACACAATCCTAACGAAGATGGGGACAAAATTAAAGTTCGTTCAATCACACCGAACAACCATCCTGAATATACTACAAAGCGCATTCGGAGCTCATATTCGCTCAAAACGTGCTTACTAAAAGTACGAATTCGAGGTAAACACATGAAGAAAAGTCAAGCATAACACTATAGTGTTTTTGCCTGGATACTGATACAGTCAGAGAGACATTATTCTACATGTATTTGCAGATACACAGCTACAAAGATGGACTCACTGGTGTAGTGCGATGTGTTGCCGGTGGCCGTACTCGCCATCTTCTCCGTGAGTGGCAATCTGATCCCACACCTGGCTGCACAGAAGTTTGTAGATCTCTTCCACAAACTCGATAGGATATTTGAACTCGTCCACCATGCTATCGGCGAGACCGAAGATGATTGCCTAACGTACCCAAACAAAACGTATGTCAGGGTGTAGCGCATGTAATTGCGTGCGAGTTGCAGTGGGTGTGCTATGCACTTCTTGCATAGTGTGTGCATGTGAACTCTTACAACACATTAGTTGCATACTTGCGATTGGCCCGCGTAGGCCCTGACCGATACATGGTGCATAAATGTTGTGCTCCTCTTTCGAACAAGCCCACACGAAAGGGCATGTCATCGGTACAAATCAGCGAGAAGGAGATGTACACTATTCCGGTGGATTACATAAAAATGCTAAGGACAAGCGCCCGTATGCGCATGGGAATATTGAACCAGTACTGAAACATTAATAAAGTTCGCACAACTACGACCCCGACACAAAACGACCGCACATTCGCATGCATGCGCACCTCATTCACATTGAAAGCACCTAAAATTACACTTGTACGCCAGGGCTACTTGTAATCATCAATAGCCGATATTGTAAGTCATTGGATCGCAAACCAGAGTATACCCCGTGCAGTTGCTGTAGTTTCACATAGGAACCGTGCGATACCACATGCGCCCCATACCTCGTTGAGATTGAGGGCCTCCACCATCTTCTTGACACCTTTTGGGCGTCTGTGATCGTTCGTGATGTACACCACCACCCACTCGCCAGGATGGTTCAGAAGCTCCTCTCCCCCAAATATAACCTCGTCATCGGGATGGCACACTATCATCAGGCGTTTACGGGTTGTGGTCTCGGGGTTGCCGGCGAATTTTAGATTGTACTCGGGCATGTAGACGCGCTTGCCTATAGAGAGAAAATAGTTATATCAACTACTCTACTGATTGCAGGGATTTGCATGTGGCTAACATATTCCTGTAAGGCTTCCATGCAATGATGGTTAGAGTCTGATACACATGTTGAACTACGCCGAAGAGTTTGCGAATGGTGAATATGCATCACAGACAGCGTGGTTAAGTTAAGGTAAGGTTGTGGCATGTCAAGATGTAGTCCATCTACGTTAAAATAACACAAACAGATGCAACACTTACTGGACACTACTAGCAACATTGAAACTACGATATGCGTATATTACTGTTCTTCACAGGTTGACACCAGCTTCAATATAGTCGAGTCAATCTATACATGACGAGATACCATTTTTAACATGTATACATATATATGAATGTATATATATTTAAACTATATATAGATATATATATACTGCTTTATCTATATGTATATAGATATTTACATATATATATGTGTGTGTGTGTGTGTGTGTGTGTGTGAGTGTGTGTGTTTATGTATGTGTGTGTGCGCGTGTGTGTGTGCGTGTATACA